TCTGCATCTTCACAACCCCTCAAGGTAAGCTCTATGACAGTCAAAATGAAGTGTTTTAGTAGTTAATCCATATATTTACACTGTCATAAAGTCATGTTATTCAGAAAAAGAAAAACTAAGTGAAAACAGTGGGACAATGCAAAATGTCTACAACTTGCATAATAATGTATATATTTATGGTACAGCTTTAAAATGACTAATAAACACACATGCTTCATATATTTCATGTACTGTATGTTCTGGACTTTAAACAGATGTATAAATCTTTGTTCTTAGCTGTATTTTGCACACTTTTGGTTTTCATGAGAGGACAATGGAAAACCCAAATATTTTAGCAACTATTCATGTGCAGGTCCTGAGAGAAATAACTTTAAGTCTTCTTCATGGGTTTTACTCACATTTTCGATGTGAGACTTTTGCCATTTAAGCCATAGTGATGTGTTTGACATTGCAGGCCAGTGAAGTCGTCTTTACTCGTTGGTTGAAGTGATAAACCTCCCTGAAAAAAACTTAAAAGCTCATGTGCTCTCTTTGAACATCTCACCTGCCCTTTCTGAAATGCCGTGCTTCACTGTAGAGGGATTCAGCACTCTGAGTGGGCTGCTCACTGCGAAGAGACATACCATACTTATAAAAGTGTTTGGCTGTATAGTGATTGATGCACTGGTTTATGAGAAATGCATGACATCATGCAATCATTCCCTCGCAATAATAACAAATTCTTTGATGTTCCGGACTACGTACAATTCCTGGCTTCCCTTTTAGACAGCACAACAGCGTAATTCTGTAATTTCCCTCTTTTACTCACTACAGCAAAGCCACTAATGGGCTGTGTTTATACCACAGCAATGTGCCAACTCGAGCTGAGCTCGCACTCCTACTCCGGCCTGACTGTGTTGCCGATGTGAGACTCCAGAGGAGAAGCCCTGCTTTCATCTGCTGCTTTCTGGTTCCTCTCTCATTTGCAAGAGTAGGAGAGAGGAAAGGAAAAGAAGCTGACCTGATGATGTTTTGCTTACTGCGAAGGGAAGTTGGGGATGAGGAGTATCGTGTCGCTCTTGTTTCAGATGAAGAAATTAGCAGCCTCCGTCAACAGCCACTTCCGTCTTAATTGGATGCAGTCTGAACTGCTTTTTGAAAAAGTTTCCTGAAATAATTTCTCCTCAATCATTGCTGCCTTTATCACTCCTCCCTTTTATCTTTTTGGGGAATATTTTAGTTTTATTTTTATATACGTTGCCATGTTCATTTTGAATCAGTCTTGCAGCTGGCTTCAACAGTAGACATTTAAAAATACCCCTCCCATTTTATTTTTAGTCTCTACACAGCCTGGCTGTCAGGCCCCATCAAAAGCAGTGATTGATCACTGGATGGGAAAGTGGGGTTAAATGAGGGATATTTCTGCACTGTCAGTTAAGCATCCCACTAACTCAGTCCCCATCCACAAAACCACAAAGACGGCAGTGCAAGACATCTCTCTCGCACATTGGACAAATAAAAAATCCCAGCCCTCTCTTCTCTACAATAAAGTAAATTACATTACCCTAGATCAATGTCTCCCTAAGGCAAACAACATAACCAAATGTCGCCACTTCAGTGATTTAAGACAGTCGTGGCATTCAGAACTATGCTAAATAAATGCAGTAATTGCAAAGATTACAATAACTGGGATGTAGGAGTCCTCTACGCTTGCTGTTAGCTTATGATATGATATCTGCGCAACATTTTATAGGAGACCTTGCTAAATATTAAAAAAAAAAACAAAATGTGTTTTGAAAAATTGAAAACAGACATTAACGACACACTGACATTTAAATTAGGCTTAATGCTTTGTGAGTAATTGCCTACAGAGCAATGACAGCACTTTGGAATAGATTGAAAATGTTGTTTGGACAGCATAAAAATGTCAGCGGCATCATACAACAGGCTACCTTTGAAATTAGGGAAAATGCGGACAGCTCAGACTTACTCCCGAATTTTCTTAAAGCATCTCTTTTAAAAATTGCATTATAGCCCCTTTGTGGCGCTAGTACCTTCTGGCACTGCTGTATCAGGCTGTGTGGGTACGGTGTGTTCGCGGCAAGCTGGACTGAGATCACGAGAGATAAACCCTGAGGCTCCTGCAAGCAGAAATGCCAAACAGGAACTCGCTGGGCTTTGAAGACATGCACTGAAACTAGATTGATGAGACTGCAAGTTAGGAGCGCCCGCGGAGTCTTTCGACAAACACGAATTTGCTCTTGTGCTGTCGTGTTGCTCTTGACCTGTAAATGACCCTGTCGTTACGTCACTTTAATTAGAAAATAAAAAAGGACAACAAAAGAACTTCGCTTCTTCAATTATCAGAAGAATCCAAGATGTCACAAGGACCTTGGAACGAATACGTTCATAGACGAATGCCAACATACGCGTTCTTTAAAATATTTCACGGGGGACAACAGCTCTAACATTTTACTTTACGTGGGGTTTTCTAGTTAAAAAAAAGTTCATTAAAAATACATATTTGATTTTTAAAAATCGTATTACATCTTCGAATAAACAGATTTCAGGAGCGCCCTGAGTTTATTATAGGTAAACCCGATATGTCGTCTTCATGCATATATATGGATATATATTCACACGAATCTATATGTGGAAGGGAATTTAAAACCGAGAACAGGAGACACTTCTTCACCCAAAGGCTTGCTACCCGGGCAAGTTGTTTAGATCCTGGGATAAAAAAGCTACTAACTGCCAAATGAACTAAATAGACCGACCAGCCTCTCGTATTTTAAATATTCTTACACGCCATTAGTCCGAGTTGAATAGCTGAAATCTATGTTTATCTGTTGTCTATTGCCTGTCGTGGGCTTCAGTTCAACAGGTGTTCCGCTTGCATCGGAGTTCTTGTTCTTAAACGTCGTCTCTCTGGCTGACAGACAGATCGATACAGATGATGGGTAGGTATACCGTTACTATCCTGTGTAAAATGAAAAATAAAAGAGCTGAAACGAAAGAAATCTGTTATGAATGACTAGTCATTGTCCTATCAACCTCTTCACCCACACCAACATTTTCGTTTTAAAATTAATCATATTAATGTTTGACCGGTAAATTATGTAGACGTTTACGGACACGAACATTTCAGATGTTGAATGGCCACAACCCTGCTCTGTAGTCCGGCCTAACAATTAAAATCCTGTTTAATAATCTCAGTGCCTGCTGGGGATGGCGCGTCAATTCGGGAGAGTCTTGATTTAAACATATGCATTCATTCGCCTATAGGTTACGAAGGATTAAGCCTGACAAATTTCGCACACAATTAGAGTGAAAAGCAATGTCCTGAGCCTCAAAGCTTCATGCCGCCCTTCTATTTCGGGAGACTTCTAATACTGGATGTCAGGCCTAATTTTAAAGTAATTTAACCAATTCATCGTATAATTAGTTTTGCAAAATTACCTCATTGGTGAATCACTCACCAGTAATGCAATAAAACTATTAACATTCCGGATTTATAGACAGGCGGGAATACAGGGTGGCTTTTGTGTTATTAGATATCATTTCCTGGATTTTTTAAGTGGCACAAAGGAACTAAGTTGAATGACAAGTGCCGTGAGCATTGCTCTGATTAAATGTTTAGCCTGTAGCCCTGAGCATTCTAAAAAAAAACGCACTATTGATGAAGTGCGAGCTCTGTTCCGAGTTCCAACTCCTATCATGCCAGAGGATTTTAAAGACCACAATAGTATTTAACCAAGTGCTTCTGAACAATTGGCTTTTAAACACCTAGAACTGGGCCTAAGCGTTCCTTATTGAAATATCGCCGCACGGATGTGTGGTACATGTCGAAAAAGATTAGCATATTTAAGTAAAGGACTACAGACGTTTCCTGGAATCAGTACAAGGGAGAACCACCAGTGGCTTTCTAAGCTAGAAGAATGTCCTACAACTGACAGGCTGAAAGACAATGTGTAGGTTTGAACAGCGAAGACCTGATACAAGATTTCATAACAGCTCAGAGGAATCGGCTGTGAAACACAAACCAGAGGACGCACGTGGAGGTTAATTGGATGTGTTTTTAAAACGGAGCAAGGGGCAATTTTGCACAAAGGGTTGTGGGTGTCTGGAACAAGATGCCCAGTCATAATGTTGAAACGGATACCATGTCCGTTTTTTCAACAGACGCCTGGACGAAATCCGAGATCAGTTAGCTAATTAGCAACCAAGATGTGCAAGATGGGCAGAATGGGCTCTCGTTTGTACATTTTGTTCTGTTTTTTGTTAAAAGCGGTAACTCGTCAATAAAAAAGGACATGTTCCGTAATGCCCTTGAATATAGGAGCGGGTAGCAATTCTAGGAGTCAATTTAGGCTGGGTCCAGAGGTCCTGTATCCACCTGCTTGAAGTTTAATACGATTTCTCATTTAATTCGATTTAAAGCTAACAGAATAAAGATGAATGAGGTCACGTTAAGCCACAAACGTCTAATAAAGTTTTATTCACAGGGATACCAGATCTATACTTCTCCTATACCCATTTTTTCCACGCGCTTTTGAAATTGCGTGAAAACACTCCGGGCAAAATAGGGGGTCTTGTAATATGGGTATTATAACACACTATTTGTTCAGTTAAAAAGGTTAAGAAACCTGGCTCAAAACAAATCGAATACGACACAGAGGCCAGACTCGCATGCATTTAGCAAACACAACAACAGACACATGTGATGCTGAGTCCTGTGTGTGGAATAAGTCGCCTACATGACAGGCCTACGAATTGAGGGTTTAGGATAATATATAACACAGCCAGGAAGAGACGACAAAAAAAATCGGTCAGGGCAGTTCACGAAATCTTAAACTACTCATCCCTGGCGTCGGTGCCGTCTTTAAAAAAATCGCTCCACCCCCCCTCCCCCCCCGCGTACCAGAGCCAACCCTCTCATTATCGATGCGGGGACCTGCGATTGGACGGCGGCTCGGTTACTTTGAAGTTTGCCTTCTGATCGGAGATACTTCAAGTGTTGATGGGAGTGGGGAATGTTTGTTAAGAAACAGAGCGAAACAGGCAAGGGAGTTGTGTATGTGTGCCTGCCGTGCTGTGGATTTTTTTATTTTTTATTTTTTTTTGGAGGGGGGGGGGAGTGTTCACACTTGGGCCCGGCGGTGGTGGCGAGCGGTATTCTCCAAAAAAGGGCTTATAATGAGTGATCTGGGGAGATTTCCTTTCCCACTGTAGTGCGAAAGACACACCGCTGCCTTTCCCGGGACGGAACACAATTTCTGCTTGGATTACAGAGAAGGACGCGTGGGGAGGGAGATATACACCATCTGTATATCAGACCGCATCCCCGCTTTCCACTTTTGTCGCCAATCTCCAAATGAACGATTCTCCTTGTGGATCTAATAAGCAACGAGTGAGCGGCCAGACACCAGAGAGCAGCGAAAGCAGGGGCGATTGCTACTCGAAACACCGTGGTCGAAAAAGCTCCCCGGTTTCCTTCTTGCCTCCTTCGGATCCTATACGCCAGGCTAAGCGGCTCCCGATCCGGATTTTGAAGATGTTGACCGCGCATACGAGTCACTTACTGCACGCGGAGTACCTCCAACCACTAACCTCTGCTCCTGTAAGCATAGAGGTAATGTACAAGTTACAGCTACTTTTACAGTATGTTCAAGAGCCATCGACGTATCTGCCTTTTCCATCTGTGGCTGGGTCTTTCCTACTGTAGTAAGAAAGAGTTACAAAGGGAGAAAAACGCCTTTATCCCACCCAATTCGCGCTCTGTGTATAACCATAGCGGCATTCCTTTAAAGCTGTGTTTTCCTAAGCGGGTGTCTTCATGTTTCCAGTGTTCAGTCCGCTCCATCTAGGGCGCAGGAGGACAGCGGGATCGAAGTTGTTTGGTCTTTAATAACACGTTATATATATATATTTTAAGTTCTCTTCAGCCACTTCCTTGCCGTTGTCTGTTGTGAAATATGTCCCTAACCGAGACTCCTATAGGCGATTCCCACTTCTGCTACATGAATTTCCTGTCTTTATCTGTAATTACATGCCGCAGATTTTTCAATACGAGCCGATCAGCCTCCTGTCAGTTGCTCTTGTTTCGTTGCCTGAAGTTGGTACTGTTACGAGACGTGGGGTTTAATGTACATTTTCCTCCTCTAGCTCGAAAGATATCTTTCCACAAAACTGCTACTTGTTCACGAATATCCCGAGACGTGAACAGGAGTGTTGGTATTTTTCCCCTTTCAACTTTTAGTCGCCTATGCGTCTTAAAATAAGACCCTTTGAGACTGCTTTTCCTCAAATGACCCGATTCGCAGTACGGATGATACTTGAGCAATATACTGACCAAATATGCGAGTATTTTATTCCACAAGCTGAAAATATTACTTCCAGGTATAATACATCCGTATTAAATAAAACTGAATATTTGTACTGTTTGTTCCAATTAATTGTTAGCGTTGGTTTATAAAGTTAAGACGATTGCAATCCAGATCTTATGTTTAAAATCAGAAATACTATGAACAATATTTACTTAAACAGTGCAGAGTATTTTTATGCAGACAATAGTTTTCGTTTTCTCCCAATAAACAACAATAATCATCTGGTGGAAATATTAAATCCTGTTACTACCAAGCTATTTTGAAATTGTAATTTTATACTAACTCTATAATAGCCACTCAGTGTTTCCTTCCGAGACTTAAACATGAATGTGCATCATTACTATTTTACAGAAAAACGGCTTCTGAATGTTGTCTGGTGTGAATGGTGTAACTGTACGTCGTTGCACACGCATAGTCGCAAATTTTTTTTTAACTTTGTTACCGAAACTCCTTTTGGCTTCGCTACTTAAAAGCGATATCTTTTTTTTTTTAATTGTCGAAATATAGTAGAATATATATAGTGTGGTAATATTAAAGGACGGAGGGGTTTGCAAAACTAAACAACTTTATTGGGGAATTAATTACACTTCTCTCTGCTTTTGAACCTCCATAGCTGGACGCCAAGAAAAGTCCCCTGGCCTTGCTGGCTCAGACGTGCTCCCAGATCGGAAAACCTGACCCGCCGCCTTCCTCTAAACTGAGCTCGGTGACGGCCAACGGCATCGGCGAGAAGGAGCCGAGCGGCAGATCTTCCAGTTCGGGTCTGAAACTCGGGGTCGGGGACCACCACCAGTCTCTGGAAGACAAGTCGAGCTTCAAACCTTATTCCAAATCCGGAGGGGAATGTCGGAAGGACGCGGCCGGCTCCGGTGCAAACGGGAATGCGGATAAGGCAGGCTTTAGGGTCCCCGGTGCTGCTTGCCCGGCTTTTCCTCCGCACGCCATTTCGCCAAACTCCAGGGTCTCGTCGCCACCTCAGCACCAACAGTCGCAGCAAACGCAGTCACAGACTCAAACGCCCTCCCAGCAACAGCAGCAGCAGCAACAGCAGCCGCCGCACCACATACAGAACCCGCACGTCGAAAACAAGCCTCTGGGCGGCGACCTGCTAAACCAGGATAACAGCACCGGTGGCGGCGGCGGCCCGAAAAAGGACTCGGACCTGGCGAAGCCGAGCCCGGAGACCGCTCTGCTCGCCAACTCCAGCCACGCCCGCGCCAGCGCCAATTCGAGCAGCGCCAGCTCGGAGAACAGCCCGCACCACGACGGCAAAACCGACTCCCAGCCCTCGCAGCAGGGCCTGGGCTCCGGCCACATCGCCCCCGTGTCCCCCTTCAAACCGGGCCATTCCGTCTTCCCTCTGCCGCCTTCCAGCATGGGTTACCATGGATCCATCGTGGGAGCTTATGCGGGCTACCCTTCCCAGTACGTCCCGGGTTTGGATCACACCAAATCCAGCCTGGTGGGGGGGCAACTGGGGGTTCCAGGGAAGCACCCCAGCTCCAGCCCCCTGACCGGTGCTTCCCCACCTTCTTTCATGCAGGGATTATGCAGGGACCCATACTGCTTGACGTACCCCAATGCCCCCCACTTGGGGGGCAGCAACTGCTCGTCCTGCGTACATGACCCTTCTTCCACGCTGAAATCGGGGTACCCGCTGGTGTACCCCACCCACCCGCTCCACTCCATCCATCACACCGCCCTGTCGTCTAGCGCCACCCCCACTCTGTCGGGGCACCCCCTGTACACCTACGGCTTCATGCTTCAGAACGACCCCCACCCGCACATATGCAACTGGGTGTCCGCCAGCGGGCCCTGCGACAAGCGTTTCGCCACGTCCGAGGAGCTCCTGGCCCACCTGCGCACGCACACGGCCCTCCCCGGCGCGGACAAGCTCCTGGCGGGGTACCCCTCCTCCGGACTGGGCAGCGCGGCGGCGGCCTCCTGCCACCTCCACCTCCCCCCCGGCGGGCCGGGCAGCCCCAACGCGCTCCCGGGCTCCTTCTCCCTGAGAAGCCCCCACAGCCTCGGACTGGGCCGCTACCACCCCTACAGCAAGGCCCACCTGCCCACGCCCGGCTCCCTCCCCATGCACACGCTGCAGGCCACGGCCAGCCCCTACTACTCCCCCTACGCCCTGTACAGCCAGCGGCTGGGCTCGGCCTCCGCCCTGGGCTACCAGTAGTGTGGCTGGGGGGGACGGGGTTGGACCCCGCGGACAGAGGCAGAGCGATCTTCCTTTCCTTTCCTCTCCCACCCTTCTGTTTGACTCTTCCTTCCTGGGACTGAAGTGTATTTATTTACTGAGCGCTTGGCTTCTAAGTTGGGAAATTTATCCAGATGCATTGTTCTAATTATTGTTATTATTATTAATATTATTATTATTCACCTTTTATAGAGTTCTGTGGTATGCAACATTGCAAAGGTGAACTGAGTCTCCTATAAAGTAATACCCGTTTTTTTTCTTCTTTTTCTAAAGATCAGATTTTCTCTCTCTCCCTTTTTCTGTCCATATAATTTCAGTGCTTCAGTTTCCTGCTCTGCGTGCCAGGGGGAGTGTCATGCATGTTCTGTCTCGGCATCATAACTGCATATCCACGATTGTGTTGTTTAAGATTCCATTTATTTTTGATTTGTACAGCTGAAGAAGAGATGTAATATTTTTTGTAATGTATTTGAGTGATGGGCTCGGGGCAGGGGTGGGGGGAGGGATTGTCACAGTGAGAGAGAGGGGACGAAACCAACAGTAGTGATGGCAGGGCTATCCCCAAAAAAGGAGGGGGGGGGAGGTCTTATTTTCTTTAATAAATGAAAACTTGATTATATTTAAGTAAGCTGTCTTTTTTTACATTTTGTTAAGCGATTCAATTTTTTTTTTCGGTTCGAAGTCTTATCCTATTGATCTTTGTGATAAAAAAAAAAGCACATCACCAAAGAATAAAAGCCCTTTTCTCTTTCTCATGGGATTTCTGTTGATTTGTACTTGCAGGTAGGAAAGCACTCAAGCCAAAGTGTTTTTCAGCTTTTGAGGACTTTTAAGAGGTTTTTTTTTGTGCGATTCTGCCTTGATAATGTAGACTCTTTGCCCAATAACACAGTAACGTACTGTGTGTATATATATACATACATACAGCTAAAACACTGAGACTGAGAACACAGCGTGGTCCGATTCCTCCACGCAGCTGATGTGTTGGGAGCCAAGGGTGTCCCTGGAACTGTCCAGGCACCTTTTTTACCAAGAGAAGGAGAAAAACTAAGATGAACGTTTTGAATCTGTTACTGAATCTAAACTTCCTGAGTGAAGTGAAAAACAGAGTTCAAAGCCCCCGTGTCGCTTTTGAGCTTGCTGGCAGGTTTTCCAGGAAAGGAGCCGGGCCCTTGTTCAGCTCATGCGCTCGGTTGGGACCTTCATCTCGGGTCCGAACTGAAGTGTGCCCCCTCCAGCTCACTGGCCATCCGGGCAGCACGGCATGCGCACGCAGACCCTGGAAACGATCCCGGGCATGGGCGTGAGCTACCCGGCAGAGAATTAGGGAGCAGATTGAGTCTCCTAGCAAGGAAAACTGGGAAATGGATCATCTTGGGTTTTGATGTTCTAACACAAAGGCATGCCTTCCACATGGTAACGCAACTGTCCGCTTTGTCGTGATCCTATGTCTTCCCTCTGAGTAAATCCAAGAGGCACTGCAGTGTAGACTCAGGGCTTTCCGAAGCACCCACTCTGACGACTTTCCTTCCCTTCGAGTGCAAGAACTCCACTCTTCTCGCTCTCCTTGTCCGGCAGAGGAAATGCATTTTAATTGCTGATGCTAGATCTTTCCGCTAAAAGCCACTTCAGCACATTGATGCGTTAGCAATCCGGGCTGCTGTAGTGAGACCGGCCTTTTAACAACCACTCTAGGGAGCCTCCCACACTCCTCCGTGCGGATGTGTGATTTATTAGAGGAGCTACACTGGGATGCTTCCAGACCAGCTTCGCTTTACAGGAGGCCTTTGTTGCTGCAATAGCGGAATACAGATCACAGAAGGACAGGGCCACACCGCCGTCGTAATGCCACTGTAAACAGGAGCGCTCCAGCAGGATATAAACCTTTAGTCTTGCTAATTGCAGTTTGAGTAAAAAGTACTGCTCGGGTGCAATAAAAAAAATGCTGAATTCTGTTTTACCCATGGTCAAACACACTCCTGGGCCGTATTCAAAGAATGGGTTCCAGGTTTGACGACTCGGTTACTAATTGGATAGATTGTAATATTACATAGAAAGATAAATGCAGGCCAAAGTCACTTAACACAATTGCTTTGAAGGGAGATTAAAACCCTGACAGAAGATGTAGAGTATAATTTGTCTATTCGGCGCTGTTTGGTCTTGAGGAATTGCTCCTCTTTGAAATATGCCACAGTATTTCACAATCATTTGTGTGTTTTACTTCTGCAAGGTTAAGCCTGTTTTTATACTTGTTTATTGTGGCATCGATCTGTGAAATAGGATCTTTCAGATGTGCCTGAGTCAGATGCCTTTTATGTAGCCTTTAATAACACCTGTGTTTCAAGAGATTAAGGCCAGGAGTGATTCAGCAGTGGTATTTATCACAGATGGACATACTAGAGAGAGCAGACTGTTCGACTAACTGGGATTATTGACAAAGCTTGTAATCTCTGTTAAATGCCACCAGTGTGTGTGAAAGTGGTGTAGCATATCAAAGGAAAGAAAACGTTGGATTTTATTTTTTATGGGTTTTTTTTGCTGTAGATTTATTATACACAGGACACACTAAGCATAAAATATTACTCATCCACATGTACTGTACATCAATGTTTACTTTTGAGCAAGTCTCAACTTCTGAATCTACAAATGCAAATGAATAATAAAGATACATTACCTACTTAAATTATTGCACTCTTCCAATTCAATTTCTAATTCATAAGTAGATATTTTGTTAATACATTTGAAAAGTACTTGATTGTTAGAAATTTTAGTTTAATTTCTGTGGGGTTTATAGGAGAACGTTAATCATCCTCCTTCACCAGAGAAAAAGAATTGTCTTTTTTTGGTTTGTTCTTACAAAATGCTTTAAGGGTCTAATTTAAGTTTTTCGCCCCTATAAAAAGTTTGAGGCAGGAGCATTAAATTATCATGGCTTGACTTGTATCGCCACCTATAGGCCAGATGTAAAAAAAACATTTAGAAGTGCTCCCAACATTTTTTAAGTGTTCATTCCTATTAATTGACGTCCATAATAACTTTAAGATGTGTTATAACAACATTATAATGGGCTTCTGTTAACACTCAGAGAAGTTTTGATGACCAAATTTCAAATGACCTTAATAGTAATTTTGAATTTTGCCTTATAAAAAATATATTCTGAGTACATGCTGTATGAACCTTTTGTGTATGGTTCTGTAAAAGACATGGAAGTCTAAAATTATGGTAAAGAAACGTCGTAGACACAAATCCATTAGATGGGAAATTTTCCAGTCCAGTGCCTATCCTTTGAAATAATTTAGTCTTTTAAGATGTTTGAAAAGTGGTGTAAGGAGCTGATCTACTGGTATTGTGTGTTCTAGTTCTTAATAAGGTTGTGGTCTATTACTTGACAAAAGTTTATGTACCATATAAACTTTGCCCAAAGAAAATCAGTGTTGATATATCAGAAAAAATAAATAAATTGTCCGTTAAGTTTAATATATTAACATTCTGAAAGATGTGTGCTGGCACTTTGCAACTACTTGTTATTTATTTGGATAAAAAACAAAATATAATTTTAAACTAAGCAGGAAGTTGAGAGTTTTATTAAAGTGGCCTATTATAGTTTACCAGCAAGATATATTTAAACGATTTACCTAGATTGGTGGTATTTACGTAGCGTCTACTTTATAGCTGGACCGTGTAGCGTATCTGTAACTGGTTCCCTGCTTGGGAATACTGGGAATACTACTATTTTTCCACCTTGGAAAAAAATATGATGAAAACATCATTATTCTTTGTTTCTAAAAAACAAACATTCACGTGCTAAAAATGCATCACGTTATTAAGCAAGCAAGTAGCAGTGAGTCTGACCACTATTGCATAGCACCACACCACCAACATCTGGTGAGCAGCTCTTGCAGAAGAGGGATTTATTGGGAAGGAGAGGGTTCGATGGAGACAGATGTATAACAATCCGAGAAAGAGGGTGTGAGTTTGGAATAGCATTGAAAGATGTTGTCTCTGGGTGTTTTGGGGTTAAACATTCGCTTGCTGTGAATTTGTGGGAACCGTTTCTCCACGCAGCACTTCCCAGGATGTGGACGACTTCAGATGTGAAATCTGGGTGGACAGAGACCCTGATTAACGATGACAGACGGAGAGGATGATCTTCAGTTAAATGCCACCAAACTGTGACAGTTTTAATGGCCGAGACAGACTTGGAACAGAGAACAACAGACAGAGAGACACACACACACACACACGCAAGCAAAGAAAAGACCATCTCCCCCTTCAAAAGTGGATGTTTCCCATAGGTTCCCGAGTGATGGATTACACCCTGAGTCACTGGTGGCCTTGTTGACCAAAGAATAAAATAACCCAGATGTCTGAATCCCATCTAACACTCCGGTCGTAAAAAAAAAGGCACAATTTATTTGTTTTTTTCACATGCATGCTACCCCCCCCACCACCCCCTCCACAAAAACACTAAATATTATAATAATAACAACAAGACGTTTTGAACAAATTAAAGAAGGAAAAAAGCCAGCCAGCCAGCTCGTCAGTCCTTTCTCATGACATGTAATTTGAAGACAAACACCCTCAGCTGTAAACAAAGCCCGTTATAATTATGGCAGACCACTAATGTTTTTAAGCCCAGCTGGGTTTGATTTTGCTGGTGCTCGGGGAGAATGCTGAGAAGATTTAGCTTTCATATATCATAATGGAGCACTCATGGAAAACGTGCTTTGGCAGGGTTGTGGCGCTGGCTGCGTGAGATTTGGAAGAGGGGTGACATCACGTTCCCTTGTCTGCCTCTGGAATCTTTGAGAGGGTTTTGGTCAAATTTCTTTCTTTTTTGTTTTTCACCAAACCGTCAAAGGAAGCTGCCAAGGGTTGACCCCAAACTACAGCACAACCATAGGCAGGTCAGAGCAGATGGATTGCTTTAGCTCTTGTTTTTTTTTTTTTGTGGACTTTTTTATAATCTCGTTTCCATCACCTAACTGGACGCGAAGCCTAGAATGTTTTTAAGAAGGGCTTTCTTTCTTTTAATAAGGCAAATAAAACAAATGTCTTTCCATTAAAGCTAATGACCGGACTAATTTTTAATTGCATCAAATGTTTCAAGTTGTATAGGCAGGGCAACGCAGTAAATTAGCCCATATGTGTTTCCATTACTTGGAACACACGTGTTCATTTAGTGCCACTGATGATTTACCAGGCTGTAAGAAATGGTTCCAGGTTTCTCTGTGAACCCAGAAAAAGTTCTGAGGACACCCAGGAGTACTCAGACCTCAGGACCACTACCCTAAACCTCTCAGACTGGCCCAAAGCTCTATTCAGGTCTTGTTTTACTGTAAGGCCTGATCAGCTGCAGTGCCTCCACTTCTGTAGGAGTGGAAGACAGTGTTAGTGCCAGGAGACAATATGACAATTTACTGGGAAACATTAGCAAGAAAAAATAACTTTGCATCCGCATTCCTCTCCTTCACATCCCCGTCAATCCCGCTGCGCTGGTGAAATCTGATTAGAGGGGAGAAGAGTGCTGTCTGACAGGGAACACATACATGCACATCCACACTTGTTATCGCAGGCTCGTGAAAAGCAGGCTGACAGCTCACTCCGTCCTGGAGTCCCACAGTAATGAATTCCGACTTGGCATGAACCAGCTCTGACCCTCTCCTGCAGGCCAACGACTGACAGTGTGGCGTGCTGCACAAGTAGAGAACCCCAGGCTCACGGGCTTGGTGCTAAGAATAGCCCAAATATGG